AAAGAAAGAAAGAAAAAAGAAATGTATAAGTTGATTCTAAAATTTGTATATAGAAATGCAGATAACCAGAAGTAGTCAAAGTATTCCTGAAAAAGTGATAGGGTATCACTCCCAAGATTGGGTTACAAAAAGACGTGGCTTTGACCTTGGGCTCTCTTTCTCCCTTCCTCTTAGAAAGCTCACCTTGAGAGAAGCCAGCATGACATGGCAGCACTGTGCAGATGTTCACATGATTAGGGATTAAGGCTGCCAGACCACATGAGTCTTCAGATGAGACTGCAGCCCTGGCCAACAGTTGATTATTAACACAACTGGCCTGGGACTGAGGGATTTCCTAAGCTATGGGACTTAACGTGCTAAACCCAAGACAGACCTGGGCAAATCAGTCATCCAAATGACCGCTGGACTACATACTCTCGAGAGTCCTTGAGCAAGAGGCACCCAGCTCAGCTGTGCCCAAATTTCTGATGTTTATTCTCTTAAGCTGCTGTTTTGCGGTAATGCAATGGGTACCAGTGGATAACTCATATAGCATGTCACAAAAGATAGCATAATATAACATATCACTAAAATGGGGATACACAGATGACAAGGCACTCAACTTCACTGCTCATCAGAGAGATGCAGATCACAAGAACAGCAAGCTCTCTCTCTCTACCCACCCAAATCAGCAAAATTTCAAAGATAGAAAATATCCAATGTTGACAAGGATGAAGAGCAACTGGGACTCTCACATACTACACAGTCGTGGGAATATCAAACAGGACAACCACTTTGGAAAGGTACTAACTACGAAACCTAAACAGTAAACACGTCCTATGTCCCCGAAATAGACCAACAGAACATGTACAGCTGTTCACCAAAAACCACCTATAAGAATGTCATAGCTGGACAGGACCTTGGGGGCCATTCACTCCCAATCCACTCAGGTAACAGGAAGGGCACCCACACAGAAGAGGCAGGAAAAGAGGTGAGAAAAGGTGAGAAATCATAAAGCACGACAGTTCCCTACCAGCAACAGAGGCCTCTGCTGGGGCAGGCATCATTGCACACTTACAACAAATCGCACTGGATAAAAGGAGAACATGCACATATCTGAGCTAGTGCCCAAGAGAGCCAGGAGCTGAGATCTCTAACTAGCTGCTCAGAGAGGGGGTGAAACAGGCCTGTCACCCAGTCCTCTGGCCCTAGCGGAGTACTGACTTTCAAAGTATCTTCAACGCAGGCAGACTTCTATGCAAGAAAACTCATAGGCCCATCTGGGTGTATAAAAATGATCAAAACAGAGGGGCCCTGGCTGATCTGAAGACCCTGCCTCCCAGGTCTCCTCCTCCCAGCTGTGGGTCTGAGACCCCCCAACACCCCTGAACATCCTGGCACTTACCTGCCAGCCCAGGTGTGCTGTGGCTGGGGTTTTGTCCCTGCCCCTGTCCCCTCCCCAGGCCCTGGGTCCCCACACTCACCACAGCGCCGGGCCCTGGACTATACCAGCCCATCATAGAGGGACAGCGCCTGCACGATGGATGGGTCCGCCTTGGACCCCTCCTGGAACTCCTGCAGTGTCAGCTTCCCATCGGCGTTCTGCAAGCAGGGAGAAGCTGCTGAAGGCAGAGGCCCACCTGCCTCCCGGGAAGTGACTGAGCAAGGCCTGCCCAGGCCAGGTCCCAAGAGGGCCTGGTCCCAAGAGAACTTTCCATGTTAGGTCAGGAGGGAGGCGGTGCAGAGTGGTGGGTAAGTGGCACCAGGCAGACCTCAGCACTCCCAGCTGGGTGACCCTGGTTCTGGGGCCACCTCTCTGGGCCTGAGGACTGAGGATAACTGTGCGGCTTCCTAAAAGGACTGTGGCGAGAACGCCATGCTTGGCAAACTAGATGCCCTACAACTCTGTACTTATCATTGTCACTGCTACTAATTCCTATACATGGTGGTTAATCCGTAAGGGCTAAGGGCCTTGTGCATTTCTCTGGGGTCACTCTTGGGAGGGCATTTAAATCACCCCTGGGGCAGCCCAACTGAGCCCCAGGAGGCCTGAGTGGCTCATGAGGAGGCCAGAAGAACTTCAGCAGGTCTGTTGGGGAGGGGATGATTGGGCCAGGATCCTGTCCCCCGGAGTATTTCCAGAGGAAAAAGGCCACAGACAGCACTGACTGGACTTCAGCTACCCAGAGAGGGCACTGGCACAGCCATGCCCTTGGGTCATGCACCAAGCATCCAGCACATGCCAGCACCATCCCATCTTGATCTCATGGAATCCTCAGAGCCACCCCAAGAAGAGGGTACTGCTCTCCTCCCCACCTTACTGGTAAGGAAACCGAGGCTTGGTCACCTCCCCAAGGTCCCATGGCTGGCACTGGCATGTCAGATTCTGGGTCTTCACTATTTCCCAAAGTAAAGGAGGTACAAGTACGGGGAACTGAAGGAGTATATGGCTTTGGCATTAAGTAACATCCACTGTCTGTAAGACATTTATCATTCCTCGCTCCGTACTCTGTTGATAAATTGATTATGACCAAGAGACCACTTGTCAGAGGCCAGCATGTGTCTAATGTCGCTCTAACATGTGCTCATCCCCCTTTACAATCGAGAAAGTACAGGCCTGAGGCTCAAAGCTCTCAGGGCAGCACACCTTATTGTCCACCGTGTGAATAAAGAGCCTCGTTTTATACTGTATTACAAACTCTTTGTCTACAAATACCTTGAGAGCTATATTCTAAAATAATTAATTTCCTTTTTGATCTTATGGATTTTATTTTATGAACTTAAGACCATCATTCTGAGAAGTCTATGGATGCCAGAGGGATCCCCGGCACATGAACAAATAAAAGGGTTAAAGATTGATTCAAGAAAACAAGTTGGGCAAACATACTTAATACTCTGGACAGTTGATGGGGATGGCTGCCGGCTATGGACATGACACCAGCCACACTGCCTGCCTTGAGCCAGTCCCATAGGTAGTCAGCGGCAAAGGCAGGCCCAGGCTCTGAGGCTCCACTCCCTGCCCTCCCATCTTATCTCCTGGGTCAAGGACCAGCCCTTGCCCAGCCTCACCTTGTCCATCATGGCGAAGATCCGGTCTACTCTCTTCTCTGGAGTGTTCTCCTCCTCCGGGAGCTCCACAGTATTCCCCTGCCAGGATAGAGGTGGTGGGGCCGGGACCTGGGACTCTGGGCTTTGGGTTCTTGGCCAAATCTTTGTCCCCCAGGCCTTTGCCCCTCCAGCTGAGGGTTGCCTCTCCCTCCCATGCCCTGTCTCTGCTGTTCTGTCCCCAGGCCCACCCCCACCCAGCCTGCCTGCTTGCCCAAGAGAGACACATGGGGTAACCCAGTCAGTAGCCCTACTCTGACACTGGGCAGGGGGCAGCTGCAAGGGTGCCCTCTCCTAGCCAGGCCCACGTGCTAACCTGTATGCCCTCCTGCCATCCCCATCCCACAGGACCTGCCCTCTCACCACCATCTGGTAAATGGCGTCCACAATATCCAGCATCTCGTTCCTGGTGATATAGCCGTCGTTGTCCAAGTCATAGAGCTTGAAGGCCCCTGGAATCAACCAGACAGGGCTGAGCAACTCCCACCCAAGTCAGGGCAAGGGCTCTTCCCTGCACCCCTCTCTGCACCTCAACAGGAAGTGAGGGGTGTCCTTGTTACACATCAAGGTCAATGAGTATGTCAGGACGGACAGGGACAGACACACACATGCACACATGTGCCACTGCAACCAGGATTGAATAAAACATAAGTAAAAGGGGGTTCACTAGGTCTGCCAGGGCTGAGGCTTCAGCAACTAGAGCAGAGTGAGGGGCGTGTGGCACTGGGAATGTGGCCCAGAGAAGAGTCCTGTGGCTGCCCCCTATCCTCAGACCCTCCCCTCCCACAGTGATGACACAGCTCTCCATGGTCAACGTTACACAATAAAACAGTGTGTTAGGAGGGGAGCTTTTGCATAAATAAAATTCTCTTTTGTGTCTCAAAAAAGGAAAAAGAACCTGCAGGGAATGAAGGGCAAAGATCTTAGTGAGCAGTTGAATCAGGCCAGAGTGATTCCCCTTCCTGCACCCTGAGTTCCAGCTGACAGCCACCAGGGGCCTACACAGCCTCTTCCCTCTCAGCCTCCCTCCAGGGCCCGGAACCCACCCAGCTCGAAGCCCACCTCTCCCAGGCCAGCTCCTTTCCTGCAGCTTGGCTGCAGCTTCGTGGGGTGTTCTGAATCCTGCTGCCGTTCCAGACCGGCAGCCCCAGGAACAGGGTCCTGTCTATGTCACCCCCAGCCCCATTCTAACATGTGGTTGTATTCAGTCAATATTTATTGAATGAACCCATGAGTAAATGAATGAGTAGTAATGGCCTCTGAAGAGGTGGGTCCAGCAGTGGCCCTGGGTCTCTGGTTCTGCCTCATCCTGCCCACTGCCCAGATCTACACCTGCCTGAACGTGACCGCAGCCCCTGCCAGCCTCCTGCCCCACTGGCCCTCCCACCCCACCACCTCCAGGAAACCTCCTGTGACATGTCTGCACCATTCTCTCAGCCCTGGACAGGGGGCCTGGCCCGGTTATTTGGCCACCCCTCTGGCCTCTGCAGATGGAGCAGGGATGTCACCTGCAATCCCAACTTGGGTATCTAGTGCCCCTGCCACTGAGGGCCAAGGGCTACTTCTCTCTGCCCTGGCACCACCAGCAGCTGCCCCAGAGGGTCAAGGGGGTCAGGACTCACACCGCAGCTTCTCATCCAGGGTTCCTCGTGAGGTCACTGACAATGCCTGGATGAACTCAGAGAACTCGATCCGCCCATCCTGACCAGAGAGAGAGGAGGCCTCAGTCAGCGCCAGGCCACCTGGTCAGGCCAGACCTTGGAGGGGGACAAGGGGCAGCTGCAGGCACTGGGCACCTGTGGCCAGTGAGACCCAGGTGAGAAGGCAGGTACGATGCAATGAGGTGATGGAAGTGGAGAAGAGGGCAAGGAGATGGGGCTGGGGAAAAAGGGGGGCAGAAAAGTGACAGGCCAGAAGGCAGGTACAGGCAGAAGGGCCAAGGCTAAGACTGACTCCACTTCCAACCCAAGAAAGAGCCAGAAGCACCAGCATGGGCCCCTCTCATGGCAGCAGCCACCTGCAAAGCCCCTCAGCCTAGAACTGCAAGCTCAGGGGGCTTTTGAAGTGGAAAGGGCTTTGCAGATTGTTTAATCCTATCTACTTGTTTTAAAAATGAGGAAACTGAGGCCCAGAGAGGGCAGAGTCCTTCCCAGGGTCAGAGAGTATGACTCCCAGTTTAGGGGCACTTGGGAGAAAGTTGGGGGGGTGATAGAATGGAAACCACCGTAGTGCCAACAGCAGGGAGCGTGGAAACAAGTTAACTCCCCCCGCCCCCCGAGAACTCTCTGGGCCCAGGGAAAATACTGCTGCAGGGCAGAGTCCGGAAGGCTATGAATGCCCCTGTAGTGGCACACCAGCTGTCAGTGTGGCTATCACCAGGAGGGGACACGTGCTACAACATGCATAAGTTTTGAAGACATGATGTTTAGTGAAAGGAGCCAGGCATGAAAGATCCCATATGGAATGATTCTCAGAACCTCAGTTTCCTCATCTGCAAAATGGGGGTATAATACCTGTCTCACTTAGGAAATGTCTGGTAAATGTAGGTTATGATCATTAATATAACCTGAGGACATTTGTGTTCTGTGCTTGTAGGAGAAAAAGAAGGGTGTACATGTTTGGTGCGTATGTGTGCACGTGTCACTGTAGTACACTGCACGCATGTGCATACATTGTGTGTGCTGTGTGAATATGCATGGGTGCTCATGCACGTGTGTACACGCATGCATTTCTATTCCTCTATGCACATGTGCATGTGTGTATGCATCTACGTGTTAGTATGTGTACACACATGTGAATTCATGTGTGTGGGTATGAGTGCATTTGTATGCATCTGTGTTTATTGCGTGTACATGTCTGTGCATGTGTACGTGTGTGCATTTGCATGAGACTATGTGTGTGTGTGTGTGCACATGTGTATGCTTCCTTCTCGAGAAAAGAACAGTGGCAGGAGAGAGTGGGTGTGGGTACACTGCAGGCACCCAGGGGAGCTAAGCCAGCTCCTACGGGGGGATGACTTGGGCTGGCCCAGGCCCCATCAGTCCCCAGCTCACCTTGTTTTCATCAAAGACATTGAAAACAAATGTGGCAAACTTGGTGGGGTCTCCAAATGGGAAGAACTGCTTGTAGATCTTCTGGAAGCCTGCTGCGTCCAGCTGCCCACTGGGGCAGTCTTTAATGAAGCCTTTGTACCTAGAGGCAGCAGACAAGCAAGACAGGATAAGAGATGTCAACATCACCTGCCACCAGGTGCTCCTGCCAGGGCCCAGGATGTCACAGGCACAAGCTCAACTCCACACCTCTGCCTCTCACTAGCTATGGGACCGTAGACAAGTGACTTCACCTCCGTGAGCCTCGTCTATATATGGGGATAAGGGCTGACATAGGAATTGACACCACACAGAGTACTTGGCTACCCAGCCCCGTGCTCCACCCCAGGGCTAACAGAGTGGCATGAATCACCTCCTTGAGGCCACACTCTTGCACAAGGCATCCTGCCTCCCCCACCTTCTCTGCTGAGCCTCTCCTGGCACCACAGAGGGGGGTGAGCTGGCTGGTGGTGCTGGTGGGTAGGGCCACCATATGGAGCCAGCAGGTGGCTCCTCCCACACGTCCGTACCCCTCCCCCCATGCACACCCACCCCACTCCCCCCGCCCCCAGCCTCTGTTCCCAGGGAACTGGGTAAACAGACTGAAGCAGCACAAGGATCTCAAGGGGACCCTAGCTTGTTCCTGCTGGACTGGTCCACCCTGCAGTCCCAGTGCCCAACAGAGGCAATGCCCTCCAGATACACAGGCAGGTGGTGGTGCAGGCTTTATATATGACATTCACTAACTGTGCAACCTCAGGCAAATGCCCTCACCTCTCCGAGTCTCAGTTTCCTTATCTCTGAAAAGGGAGGGTTATCACACCCGTCTTGGGATCAGGAGAGACAGTGCATGTAACCACAGGGCTAGACATAAAAATGGTCAACAGTGTGATTTTTCAGCATTGTGAACTTAAATTTGCATTGTGCTAGGCTAAGCACAGTGACGCGTGCATATAATCCTGCACTTTGGGAGGTCAGGGCAGGAAGATCATTTGAAGCCAGGAGTCTGAGATCAGCCTAGGCAAAATGTCAAGACCTCACCTCTAAAAAAAATTAAAATAATGAGTTGGGTATAGTTGCATGTGCCTATAGTCCTAGCTACTCCAGAGACTGAGGCAGGTACATGGTTTGAGCCCAGGAGTTCAAGGTTACAACGAGCTATGATAGGGCCAATGTGCTCTAGCCTGGGTGACAGAGTAAGATCTCTCTCTAAAAACAAACAAATACTGTGCTGCACCAAGTTGGCTCCTGTGTGTAGCTTAGCCCACCCCCAACCAAATGGGACACACTCTCCCGTGAGGAAGATTCCCACGGTAGCAGCAGCAGCTGCGGACAGGGGTCAGCTGCTATCAGCACCAGCTATGGCCTCAGCTGGGCCAGACTGGACTGGGAACTTTGCAGACCTGTTTCCTAGAATGCCCATGACAGCCCCATGAGTAAGATACTAAGAGGAAACCCATTTTAAAGGCAAGGAAACTGAGGCTCAGAGAGGGAAGATTCCCAGTCCTCAAACTCCAGACTGAAGCTGAGGTGGGGGTGGAAGCTGGACCATGGGGGCTCTCATGCTGCCCATTGCTCTCTGGTCCAAGGCAGTTACATGAAGAGCCCACCCTCCCCCAGAACATCCAAGGACAGGTTCTATGCATGAAGTTGCTGCAGAACTGTGCCCGGGACCCACAAGAAAAGGAAGCCACTGTGCCCCTGCCCATCAGAGAGCAGTTTAGGGGACTGAATGGATGCTGGGCACATGAGGACTTAAAGGGACACTAAGAGCAACCAGAAGTGGGACCTTGGAAATTCTGCAGCCTGAATGGAGTTGGTTAGATGTAGAGTAAGCAGGACAACTGCTGGCATGTCACTGCTACCAGTGGCACTGGGGGGGTTCTGTAGATATGAGGTGTGGAGGCCAGGGATCTGAGAAGACAGAGTGGCTAGGAGCCTCCTTCTTCAGTCAGCCCCCAGAGGGGCACATGACTATCCCAACAGTGCCCACACCAAGCACAAGGTTCCCCCTGGACACCCCGAGAGGCAGGAGGCCCAGGGAGGCAGATCTTTTGTGACAGCCCATGACAGCTACCCCATGCCGGGCACCATGCTGAGCCCTCATGGACAGTTCCTCATTCAGCCCTTGACAATGGGCTCCATGATCCCATCTCACAGATGAAGCCACCAAGGCAAGGAGAGGTCAGGCGATTTGTCCAGAGCATCGTGGGTGACTCGGAGTTCTAGCCATTAGCCTGCTCTGCCTCTCCTGCCCACTGCCCTGCCAGTCAGCCTGTGACCCCAGCATCAGTCCTTCCCTAGCACATGATGTCCGCAGGCCTGCCCAAAATCCCTGCATCCTGTGCTGGTCGGACCCTTGGTATCTACCAGCCACTGCTCAGCCCCTGTGTCCACTGAGCCATGGCTCAGGAAGCAAAGCAGGACAGGCTCAGGGATGTGGAGTTCAAACTCCTTCCCATAGCAGGAGGAACAAACCGGCCCCCTCTAGCTCCCTCCCCTTAAAGCTGCTTTCTCTCTGCTTCCTTCATGTTTGGAGGACAAGATCTGGCCGATGACCCCAGGCCCCTAGGCCAGGACGGGTCTCTGGACGAGGAAGGGGACATACCTGGTTCCAGGGCTGCATGATCCATGTGGGGGGCACTCTAGTTGTCGACAGATCTCTCTGCATGCTGGGGTGGTGGGTTACCGCCCCTCTGTTCAAACCTTCTAACTTCTCTACAATGGGTTTGTGTTACTTGAGTGATTCTAAAATGTTATTAAAGACAATTAAGACAAAAGTCTTTATTGCAGATGGCTCGCCAGGGTCCAGCTGTCAGGAGAGGGAGGCCTGCACAAATCAGTGCTGGGAGTAGGGCCAACGGGGAGGGGAGACAGCCTTATGAGGAGCCCTCGTAGGCCTTCCAGGTTACTCTCACAGGTGGCCATTATGGGGTCCTAGCCCCTTCAGTGCCATTACAGGGGCCCTAGGAAGGCCCCCCATGAGGCAACGTCCATTGGGGGCTGCTCAGCTGATGCTCCAGCTACCTCTTGTCAGTACCCCTTTATTCCACACTCAGGTTTGAGTCAGGCTCCTCTGGACCTGTGCCCCCCATCTCCAGTCTCCCTGTCTAGCTATAGCAAGAATCATGGTCAGCCTGGCCAGAACCCCCTGCCCTCTCGTCAATGGAGTTCCTTACTCTCCAGAAGGGTGTCCTTGTCCTGCCTTTCATCAGCTCCCAGTCTGCCCCTGTCCTGCCTTGTTCCAGTTGAGCCAATCTCTCCCCTGGTCTATGAGTGTCCTATGAGTCTTGATGCCTACACTAATGGTCCCAAGTAAAGTCTTCCTTAACAAGCGTCAGAACAATGTTTTCTATAACAGGGGCTCATCTACTCCCCTGCCAGGCCCCAGCTTCAGGGCTGCTTCTACGGGGTCTCCTCCACTGCTGTGCCCTGTCCTTCCCCAGCACAGCACGGCCATGCTGAGTCACACGTGCCTCGGGCATTGTGTCTCCACTGGAGTGTAAGCATCCTGATACCACTGTGCCCCAACGACCCGCACGTGGCCTAGGGCACATCTGTTCAGTGAATGAACACACACACTGCAAAGTCTGCAGACACTGGGGTTGCTGTGACTTGGGGAGGCAGGTGCTGCTGACACCTCTTAGATGGAGGCCATGGATACTGGGGAACGTCCTGTGGAAATGTCCCATGCTGTGCAGGACAGACTCCCATGACAAATGATGATCTGGCCCCAAATGACAAGAGTGCCAGGGCAGGGAACCCTGATCTGCTCTGAACCACTGATTTCATCCTTCGGGAAACTGAGGGGATTGTGAGGAGGGGGTTTGCTTAGGTCCCCCTTCCCACCCAGTGTGACAGGTTAGGGCTAGGGCTGGAACACAGGGCTGTTCTGGGCACCAGGCAGGTCTCCTGGCGGCAGCATGTCTGAAGGCACAAGGAAGGACATGGTGGGAGGAGCAGAAAGAGGCCTGGACCTGTCAGAACCTGATCCTGGGCCCAGGGGTGGGGAGCTGGAGTCTCTGTCTCCCAGTCACCCTGGGGATGAAATTCCTGGGCACAATCTTTGTCCCCATCCAGCAGCTCACTTGGGTGCTGCTGTGAGGAGGGGTGTGAGCCTGGTTTGGGGTGTCCTGGGCTGCACTTTAGGATTTGACCATGTACACCCTGGCCTTAGGGTTGTGATAATTGATTTGAAGGGTGAATTAGAGGCCTGGGGGAAGCTGGAGGTCTGAGAAGGTTCCGACCTCCACTCTCACTCCACTCCAGTCAAGGCAGGTTCCCTCCTCCCGCTCTGGCAAGGAATATGGGTAGGGTTACGTAATGTTTGGGTAGCAGCCTCTTTACCTGCCCTTACGGGGGCGGCACAGCTTGAATTGCTTGCAGGCTGGGTGAGGTGGGAGCCCGGGAAGCAGAGCCTGGGTCTGATGCCTGGTTCTGCTGCTCACTTGCTGTGTGATCCTGGGCCAGTCTATCTCCCTCTCTGTGTCCTTCCCGCTACCCAGAGGGGTGGAAGTCTACCACGCCCACAGAACTCCAGGCCCTGGCCAGTGTCTCTGGAGGTTCTTGTTCCTCAGGGCTTAGGAAGAAGCAGCCAAAGGCCTAGGCTCTTGCTCTCTCTGCAACTCAGGGGCAGAACCATTCAAGCTGAGAGCTCCATGGTCTCTGGGGACCCCCACAAGCTCAGGGGATCTGCCGTAGTGCCTGCCTTCCTGATGCTCTGTGACTCCAAACTCTAGTCCTGTCATTAGGAAGCTCCACTTATGAGAGCTGGGCCCTGAGAAATGTTCTTTCCAGGCATAATTTTGCCAAATTGACCTAACAAACCTAGGAGGCAAGGACAATTCTGCCCACTTTACAGATGGAAGAAGTGAGGTTTGGGAAGGGGGAGTCCCGCCTGGCTGAGAGTCTTTACATAGACCTGTACCTGGTCTGCCTTCCCTCTCCACCCCAGACCTGGCTGGCTCTCCTACCTTTTCATCCTCAGCTTCCAGGCAGCTCCCTGAGAGGGCCCCTCGGACCACTGAGACGGGGCCACACCCCAGCACACACACTCACGGCACCCTGTCCCTGGGTTGGCCTCAGAGGCACCTTGAGCAGTGA